AAATTGCACTTCCCTTCCCTGTTCCTCAGGGCAACTAATAAGAGAACAAACAGGATTCAGTACCAGGAATAAAGCTGACTCATACTCTTAGGCTTTCTCTCCTTTTAGAACACATTGATTGAAGACTTGGAATGGGATAACATTCATTCTCGTAGGGAAACAGATGAAGTCGCCAAGGAGAGAGGGTAGGGAGGGAACAGGGAAAATGAGGTGAAGGAATAGGAGACAGTGACTATTACACTGCTTTCAACGAAGTCTCTTCACCTCAGAAGAAAAGGCTATTCCAGGAAGATTACATTCTAGGTAGAATGATGAAGATGAGTAGAAATCATATACATTCTGGCCCAACATCCTAGGGGAAGAGAGTAAGTCTTGTAACAACATCAATAAATATATCTTTGTGGCCTGGTCCCACAAAAGTCCCCAGGTCTAGAAAACTTAAAAACATCAAGAGTATAGGCTCTAATATATAGAATTTGTAGTAAAGAGAGGAAGTAACTCTTGCCAAGACAGGAATCTCAATGCATGCCATTGAGTAACCTCAGGTCAAGAGGTGAGAATCTAAAACCCAGGAGGTGGCCCAAGGTACACAAAAGCTTTGTATGGGAAAACGACACCTTTTCCCTAAGTGTACTTCAAAATAGTGACATGAAGGGAAACAGGACATGGGGAGCTCCTATACTGGGCTCTTGGGTTTCTAGATAGAAGGGGTGGAAATGATGTCTCGTCCTCCTTTGAATTCTTATTTATTTTTTGGTGAGGAAGATTGGTCCTGAGCTAACATCTGTTGCCAATCTTCCTCTTTTTTTACCTCCCCAAAGCCCCAGTGCATAGCTGTATATCCTAGTTGTAAGTCATTCTAGTTCTTCTATGTGGGATGCCACCACAGCATGGCCTGATGAGCAGTGCATAGGATCCGAACTGGTGAACCCCAGGCCGCCAAAGCAGAGGACATGAACTTAGCCACTTGGCCATGGGGCTGGCCCCTCCAGTGAATTCTTATAGTTACTTTTTCTGTGTCATTGCCTTTGCTATCCCTTCTACTATTCGTAACTATCACTTAAGTCTTTACCTGATATTTAAATATTCATATGTTTGTTTTTATATAAACTATAAACTAGTTGAGGGCAGTGATCATATCTTTATACCTTCAATGGCAACTAGCTCAGCGCCTGTTCTTATTAGGTCATTAAGAAATGTTGCTTGACTCAACAACAAAACATCAAACAACCCAATCAAAAAATGGGCTAGAGACATGAACAGACATTTCCCCAAAGAAGATATACGGATGGCCAATAGGCACATGAAAAGATGCTCATCATCGCTGATCACCAGGGAAATGCAAATCAAAACTACACTAAGATATCACCTTACACCCGTTAGAATGACAAAAATATCTAAAACTAATAGTAACAAATGTTGGAGAGGTTGTGGAGACAAAGGAACCCTCATACACTGCTGGTGGGAATGCAAACTGGTGCAGCCACTATGGAAAACAGTATGGAGATTCCTCAAAAAATTAAAAATAGAACTACCATACGATCCAGCCATCCCACTACTGGGTATTTATCCAAAGAGCTTGAAGTCAGCAATCCCAAAAGTCCTATGCACCCCAATGTTTATTGCAGCATTATTTACAATAGCCAAGACATGGAAGCAACCTAAGCGCCCAGCAACAGACGAATGGATAAAGAAGATGTGGTACATATATACAATGGAATACTACTCAGCTGTAAAACAGAACAAAATCATTCCATTTGCAATAACATGGATGGACCTTGAGGGAATTATGTTAAGTGAAATAAGCCAGCTAGAGAAGGATAATCTGTGTATGACTCCACTCATATGAGGAATTTAAAATTATGGACTAAGAACAGTTTAGTGGATACCAGGGGAAAGGTGGGGTGGGGGGTGGGCACAAAGGGTGAAGTGGTGCGCCTACAACACGAATGACAAACATTAATGTACAACTGAAATTTCACAAGATTGTAACCTATCATTAACTCAATAAAAAAAAAAGAAAGAAATGTTGCTTGATTTGATGTTATAGGCAAACTGGACTTCAAGGGTCAACAGCTGCAAGGGCTGGCAATCCATAGGTCTGGCCAAGAATTTTCATGAGGCAAGGCAACATTTGGCAATTACAAGGGCATTCCAATGAAATGGAATGTCAGATTTTGCAATAGTTCTGCAAATAAGATAGATTTTTCATGAGTGGCTTGGTTCGTGGAAAAATGTGTGTTTAACGGCAAAAAGTAATCCGGGTTCTCACCTTGATAGAGATCATGCAAGATACAATCTCTGCCAGATTCCAACAGGAAGGGTGATATCAATAAATTTTCTTAGCACCAGATAGCATTATGCTAGGTATTGTACATACAGAATATTAAAAAGTGATGCTATTACAGCCCTCAAGCTTAAAATCTTAATGAGAAGTCAATGTGTATACACATAAACTAATCAGAGAACAATATGAGTGTTACACTGAGTTATAAATTAAACATCATAACATTGCTGTTGGGGAAGCTGTCGTCAAGGTGGCCTTGAGATGGGTCTTGGGAGTCTCCCAATTTTTGTGTCTTTGCTCCCCTGAGGCTTCACAAAGTCCTCTCTCCTGTGGACATTTGAAATATAATAATGCTTATTGCTTAACACCCCCCCCCCCCACCTCCACCTATTAGTAGATGAAGACAGCATTTCCTATACCTGGTATAATATTGTGCTTAGTTCTTAATCTCATATCCCTCTGGCCTTTGAGTTGAATCAGTAACCCTAACTTATAGACTAAGCTTCACTCCAATTCAAGGACTCCAATTCTTCCTGCTAGAAAAACATGAGGAATCCAGGTCATTAGTTCCAAGAATCAGTCTTAAAGATAATCAGGCTTTGGGGGGTTCATGCCTTATACTTCTATTCCCCAGTACTAGACTTCTTACTGGTAACTTTTCCTTCTGTGAATAGAGTTACATCTCCCAAAACTATCTCTTTGTCACTGGGGTTCTGGTTTCTATGGCTGGGTTTTTGGATGACAACTTTCTGCGCACTTGAATCCATATAAATTGTCTAATGCCTGTGTAGATCAACATCCTGAATCTTGGATTCATTTTGAACTTTTTACCATAAGTAAAAACTTTCTGCATGGTCTTCAAGGGCTAGTTTTGGTACCAGAGTCATAGAGAAGGTGGTACACTAGTAGCCTAAGGTTCTCTTACTTCAAATGTTTCTGGCTACAAAGCAAGAGCAAGTGGGAGGTTGCACCTCTGTGGCGGGCTCATAGTCCTCACCTTGTTTGTGATCCAAACAGTGGCCACAGATTTCTGCTTTAAAGCATGAGACAATGAAAGGGGTATTTCAGAAAAAAAAATAATACAATATAATATGGATAAGATAGCAAGGTGACCATGAAGACACTAAATGCCTTAGCATTTACATCAGATCAAATGAGATCATGCATGCAAAGTATCCAGCACAGTTCCTGGCAGTCAACAAATGTTAGTTCTCTTCCTGTGCATATAGATTTTACAATTTACAAAGTGCTTTCGCATACATTAAATTCTCTCTAAAACCCTGTGAATTAGATTTATTTCCCCCAGATATAGATTTGACTTGACCCCAAAAGGAGTACATCTGAAAAGCTGCAGGGCTGAGTGTCAGACTCAGGTTTTCAGACACCAAAGCCGGTTCTCCTTTCCCTATACCCCAAAGTTTTGTTACTGCATTATCTTAGATTTAAAATTGTGAAGGCTTGGATTAGAGTGCTAACAATGGGATAGAGATCAAAGAATGATCTGTGAGCTTCTCGGTAGCTGAGCTTTTTAGGGCCTTATTATCGTATTTCCTTATTTATAAAACACCAACACCTTATTTTATATATTCCAAGATACATATATTTTCATAATAACATCTCTGAAATCAAGACAATTGATAGCATTTTTCAGTTGTTTCCACTGCTCAGTGGTTTCAAAGTAGTTACTATTGTCTGCTCATCAGCAAACTTGGTTGTTATTCCTTATGGCATGACGACAACTGAAACCCATGGACATTTCAGTCAACAAACCATTTAAGCACCATTTGCACAAGAAATATGAGTCCTACCTGTTGCCTGAAATCTTCCATTGACAGCTTTTGGTAAGATGAAGAAAGCACAGGCATCAAAACCTGCAGAATGGATGTCAGAAACTTAGAAGAAAATCTCAGGAAAAAAATGGTGGAGCCTTGCTTAAGGAATGTTGCATCACCAGTGCTTTTGATGGCACCGAGGGTACTGTATTGAAAAATAGACATCAATGATTCAGAGTTAAAAACTGATTCAGAAGACAAACTCTGAATGTGAAGACATTTTGGACTATCTTAACTATCTCCCTTTCAATGCACAAGTGTGATATATGATTGAAAAAAATCAATGTTTAAATAACCTAAATAAACCTTCTAAAAGGGCTGAGTGATAAGAAAGCACTGTCATAGATTAACTTGCAGTATTATTTTCTTTCTTAATGGTATATAAAATTATGGTGTGCCCTACAATGTTATCTTAGATTCAATGAGAATGGTCACATTATATTTGCATAAATGCTTCACAGTTTATATATTAACTCCTTCTGGTCATCATAATAACCTTGTGATAGTAGGAGCAAAATACTAGTCCCAAATTTATCTAAGGGAAAAATAAGACAGATTAAATAGCCTAATCGAACAGCCATGGAATCAGGATAAGGACTCATCTTAATTCAGTCCTCTAGAATAAGCCTAAAATCCTTTTTCTCCCTCTAAAATTTCAAGTCTTGTATCAATCTTACTACTAGTTTGTTTGTTTTTTTAAAGGAGCAGATCTGGTGAGAATGAACATGGTAGTTCGGGATGAATATTGAACATGCCTCCCTTTTGGCAAGGAAAGTGAATTGTCAGGGTTTTAATAACAATGAATCACTATTATAAACAGCCTAGTAGTGTGCCTGGCACATAAAAGGCATTGTTAAGTAATAAGAGTTGTCCCAGCAGTCAAACTCTGAATTCTTAATGGCTTAACCAGCAAAAATTTATATCTCACACATGTCATATATTAGCATAGGTCAGCGGGCAGCGAAGGTTGTGTGTCGCTCTACTCCACACCTTCACTTGGTAATCAAGATGCCTCAGATTCCACCATCTTGCAGCTACATGGAACACGCAACCTTCAAGGTTGCTGTGATGGGAAAAAAGGGTTAGGAAAGGCACATCAGCCTGTAACTCCCTCAGCCTGAAAGTGATACGGGTCACTTCCTTCACAGGCCCTTAGGCAGAAGTCATCACACGACCCATCCCAACTGAAGGGAGGCTGGGAAAAGCAGAGGAGCAGTGGATTATTTCGTGAGTACTCTCTTTACCACAGTGGTCCTATAATTATTTCCTTGAGGGCAAGAATCTGTTGGTTTTTTTTTAAAGATTGGCACCTGAGCTAACATCCATTGCCCGTCTTTTTTTTTTCTTCTTCTCTCCAAAGCCCCCCAGGACATAGTTGTATATTCTAGTTGTAGGTCCTTCTGGCTCTGCTATGTGGGATGCTGCCTCAGCATGGTTTGATGAGCGGTGTTAGGTGGGCCCCCAGGATCCCAACCAGTGAAACCCCAGGCCACTGAAGCGGAGCGTGCGAACTTAACCACTCCGCCACGACCAGCCCCAAGAATCTGTTTTCTTTACTGCTATTCCCGAATATCTAGAACAGTGTCTGGCTTACCATGTTCATCAATAATTCCTGAATGAATAAATCAATGAATTAATAAATGGCATCTGAAGCTGGCTTTCCTCATTTCAACTATGAATCTACCCTGAAAAATTTCTAGATATAATTAGATACTCAAGTTCAGGTTAGCATTTCTGAAACACCTAGTATTAACAAGAAGGAAGTATTTTGGTAAGAATTTATTTGAACTCGGCAGACTTATTCTCAAATGTAATTACAGATTATGTGAAATCTTTTCTATGGGAGTTTAATGATTCTTTAAATTGACTAAAATATGAGGAAACACAATACTCAACTCTAAAAGCCAGCTGGATTCTTGGTTTGATTTAAAAATGAACACAGGCTGCAGTCTTCCTAGAAATGATTGCTTAGGGAGTTGGGAACAACTTGTCATGATAAGAATTTAGATTGTGGTGATATGAAAAAGCAAGCAGCAGCCAGGCATGGGGAATCATACAATAAGTAACAGTCCTTTTGGCTCTAATTCCACAGCTGTTCTTAATATTACCTGCGTGATTAGGAGGGCACACAGAGTTCACTACTGAATGTTCACAAAGGAATCTCAAAGTGATTATAAGATGTAACTCATCATTTATTCATTCAACAGATGTTTATTTAGCACCAAATAGGTGCACAGCACAATGTGTGGTGCTAGGGATTCAGGTGGAGCGACAGATATGATTCCTACCCCAAGGGAATTTACAGTCTAAAAGAGAAGATAGACACTGAACAACTATTATAATAAGCGTGACTTAGTTTGCAAAAAGGGAAGTATCAGGTGCTACGGAGCGAAGTGGGGGACTTCCTGAGCAGTAAGAAGGTATGGTCAGGGAAGATCTCCTCAAGAAACTGACATTTCAATTTAAATCCAAAGGATTAAGGTGGATTTGGCAATGGAAAAGTGAGGGGAAGAGAATTCCAGATGGAAGGAACAGCTTGTCTTTACAACCTCACTATGACATCATACATGATTACATGCTTAATGGTATAGTTAGAGAAGTGGTAGAAGAAAAAAGTGACTTTTCAGACATTGTTTAACAAGTAGCTTAATTTGGACCATAGGCCATATTTCTTACCTTTCAGGGTGGGGCACACAACTGATTCTCTCAGGTAGACTCTCTTTCCTGAGCCCAACAGGAGCTGAGCCAGTCATTTCTATAGCCCATCAGGTACATCTACCAGCCATGAACTATACCCATGTGACAGATAGAAATTTACAGCTGTTTTCACAGCATGCAGGATGAGAACTAAAGAACCCTAAACGGCTTTCTTCCAGGAAGAGGGTGGGGTGTAGTGGCAGAAGGGGAAGCTCGATCCGCGAGAGCCAAGTGCTAAAAGCAGCTGCGTGTGACATTTCCATCAGCAATCCTCCCTCCCTCATTGTGTATGAGACACACGTCAGATGTTCTGGTTTATGATTTCAGCTTCAGAGTACATACCCTCTGAGATCTAGGCTCATGTATCTCTTCCTGGCGTGGTGTCTGCTCATTAACTGAACTCTGAAGCCCATCTAAGAGTGATAATCAAATGCTGAGAATATTGGGACCCCTTTTCCTACCCTCAAGGAGGTCTGGAATCTTGTGGATTGCTTGAGTCTTAGGCCCAGGTGCTTAGTCTCTGTACTTGCTAGAAAGTGACAAAGACAGGCTACCAAAAAGATTCTGTCCCAATGCCAGAACCATATCAGAACACAAGGTCACATACAGCTGCTGTCTTCCCGTTTATATCAGCCCAGAGGACAATCTATTCTCTTTCCTTTGGAAGACACAATAGAGGCTAACTCTTGGAGGTCCCAGGTAAACGCCACTTTATTAGGTAGAACAGACCAAGGAAGGGCAGGTCTTTGCCTTTCCTTGTTGTGTTTATGCCCCCAGGTAAATTAAAGCAGGAAATCTATTATTTACAGGGAAGATAATAGGGAAGACTTATAGGCTTTTGCTTCTTTGATTCAAGATCCTGATTTGACTGAGATGTCAGCAAATAAAAAGATACGTTTGCATACCAATTAGCAATCTCCAAAAATTTAAAAGCTGCTGAGATTCTGATCATTTAAAAATACATTACTTTAGAGATTTCTGTTAAGTATTGAGGTTGAAATCTGTTACTTGCTTCCAAAAATGCTAGGTTGTATAATCTCTCAGATTACTATCCCAAATTATCTCAAGCAAATATGAAACCCGATGCAGAATAAATGTCAAAGTATTTTCTTTTTAAAGAGCAAAATTACAATGATGACAATAATCTGTTCTAATCTAAATGACAGCAGTCTCTGAGCATAAGACTGTTCGCTTTATCATTGGGCGGCCACATTTAAATGTTTTGTGCCAGAAATCTCTTCATAAGCAGATATTAGACCCAATTGTGGGTGATTTGAATGACAGGGTGGCTATGGAAGGAGCACGCTAAAGTTAGTAGTGAGATTATATCAGGGCTTCTTAGTCCGCATTATTTCTCAACTCCCACAAGTATATGTCTGGGGTAATAACCACCAGTTTTTAATTTAGGGCAAAGTAATCCTTGATAAATTCATTCATTTTGTCTACAAATATTCAAAGAAAATGTACTATATTCAAACTGATCTGTAAGACATGATTCCTGCTTTATAATATAAAATTTAGCAGAGACGACCATATACTAGACTGTGAGCTCCAAGGTCAGAGTTTGGGTCTGTTTTGATTACCACTTTATACCTAGGCAAAGCGTAGTGTCTGTCTCACGGTAGGGGCTCAATAAATATTGGTTGAATGTAAAAATGTATGAAAAAATATGTACACGATGCCACCTTTCTAATACAAATCTGTATTACATTCTTTGACAACCACATTTTATTTGTTGATTAAAATTGCACGAAACATTTCAACATCAGCCATCAATAACAGATTTTAGCAGGGCCCGTGGGAACAGCTGATTTTAATTTTTACTGCTTGTAATTAGTCTGTGGCCTTGAGGAATGTTAATAGCACTGGCTGGGGAAAAGGGAGGCTGTAAGAAAGAGAGGCATATTTAAATCAGCATCATTAAGTTGTAGTTAGATGTTTTATTTCAAATGGCCTATTCTGAAGATGAGTACAAAAAGTGCATTTTTTTTTTTTTTTGGTCAATGCTAATTCAAAAATAGGAAGAAAAGGTACATTATTATTATTTTATTTTTTATTTTTCCTTCTTCTCCTCAAAGGCCCCAGTACGTAGTTGTGTATTCTAGTTGTGGGTCCTTCTAGTTGTGGCATGTGGGACGCCACCTCAGCATGGCCTGACGAGTGGTGCCATGTGGGCGCCCAGGATCTGAACCAGCGAAACCCTGGGCCACTGAAGCGGAGTGGGAGAACTCAACTACTCGGGGCCAGCCCCAACATTGTTATTTTTTTAAGATACAATTTTTCTCTTTATCCTAAAATTTTTCTATTTCTTTTTTCAGACTTAAAAGAACACAGTTGCCAACTACCACATTTTACATAAGTAGAAAGGAAGAAAGATGAGATAAAGATCCCAGGAAAAAGAAAATCCAGTTTTTGTTTGGATGCTAAACACTATCTGTGTCGCCTTGGATAACTTTGGACTTTATTTTTTCATCCATAAAATAAAGGGAGTTGGGTTAAATTATTTCCACTGCATTCTCTAGTTTGAATCGTCTCTGATTTCATCTGACAAGCAAACTTTACCCTTTGTCATCCTTGTTGTTCTATGTGGAATGCTCAATCCTTTCCAGTTTAAAAAAAAAATCACCACATGTGCTTAAAATAAAATAGATTTCACTCATGGCATCACTTAAAAATTATAAAAAATATTCCAATACAGATACAAAGAAGGAAATAAATACCACCTTATAATCCCACCACTGAGGGATAAACATCCTTAACATTTTTAGTTATGATTTTCTATTACTTTTGTGCTCATACTTTTATGCATATTTACTGAAAAAATAGAATCATGATCACTTTGTACTTGTGTTTTGAAATCTGCATTCTTTATTTAATAATACATTATAAACATTTCTCCGTATTCTTCTAAAGCATGGTTGTTTTTCACAGCTCTATTTGTAATTCATCATTTATAAATACTACAATTTAACTCACCTATTACTGTTAGACATCTAGGTTATTTATAGTCTTTATTATAAATAACACTGCAGTGAACAAACTTCATACAAGGATATCTGATTACTTCGTAAGGATAAATTCTCACAACTAGAATTACTCCTATTAGCAATGTATGTGAGTGCTGGTTTCCAGACACCCCTGAGGGTTATAAAACGGTTTTATAATTTGAAGAAATCTTTGCCAACTATGCCAAGTGAAAAGCCCTCGAGGCCTTGGGCTTTACAATTTAGATAAACCCTTGTCGATATCCATGTCTGATTGTTACTGAACATTTTTCTGTGTTTTGCTTTAATCATTTGCATTTCTTTTTTTGGCTAAATGTCTATTTCATTCCTTTGCCCATTTTTCCACTTGTTCACCAGTTTTCTCTTTGAGATACCTCAAATGCCTCATTATTTTTGATGAGGTAGATTTTACAAGGTGCCCTGCAGATTCAAGGAGATTCAAAGTTGTTTTTGAAGATCAAGATCACCATAATTATGATCCCAGACCAAAACTTCAATTAACGTCCTTTCTTTTATAGTTTTCTCTGGCTTATCCACAGATCATTTTACGGTTTTTGTTTTGCTTTTTAAATCCCAAACCTACTAGTAAATCATTTTAGGGCTCTATTCTGGAGCACCTTTTCCATCAATATTTTAATAATGAAATATTTTGAATAAAATATTAAGACCATCAATTTTATGCATTGAAACGTTGATAAATCAAAATTATGGTGGCAGAACAATGGATTTACATTCAGATATGTCTCTACAACTTGATTCATCAGATTCTGTGGGTGGAAGCTGGGTAAATAAAAAGGTAAACAACTTGGAAGCTACTACCTTCATTAGAACTTTCTGAAAAACAAAACAGGGGTCAGCCGGGTGGTGCAGTGGTTAAGTTCGCACGTTTCGCTTTGGCGGCCCGGGGTTCACAGGTTCGGATCCCGGTTGCGGACATGGCACCGCTTGGCAAGCCATGCTGTGGTAGACATCCCACGTATAAAGTAGAGGAAGATGGGCACGGATGTTAGCTCAGGGCCAGTCTTCCTCAGCAAAAAGAGGAGACTGGCAGCAGATGTTAGCTCAGGGCTAATCTTCCTCAAAAACATACAAACAAACAAAAACAAAACAAAAAGTCTTCAGTGGTCCTGACAGATGTGGTGCTCTCTGGAGCCTTTAGAAGAAACACTGAGCTACAAACACAAAACCCACAGAACGTCTGCTGTGAGCCCTGACTTAACTGGCTGAGCAGGTTATTGTTGATAGTTGGTCATTCAAAAGAACAACTTGTAACTCGCAGGTCAAGTGCAGAGTAACAAAGCACATCTTCACGTAATTTATTGCCCCTTACTTTATCTAGAGCCTATTTCTATTCTTTTCTGAGCACATACCTATTATTATTCTCTTTCAATTTCTCTTTTTTGTTTTTAGGTTGTTGTTTCATGTGTATAACTATTTTTAGAATTTGTTTTTTAGAAAAGGTCAAATTTTGCAATAACTTTTTGGTTCTGTAACAGACACTGTTCTTATTGATTTTAAGGAAATCTCTTCAGGGTCTTTTCTGGGGCATCTTTTTCTTTTCAACTAACATTTTAATATTGAAATGTGTTGGTTATCTAATCTAATATACCAAAACAGCAACAAATCTTAGAACCTGTTAAGTGAAAAAGGAAGAGGTGCAGAATAGTATATATAGTATATATACAAAAAAGAATATACCTATGTATTCTGTGTAAAAGTAACATAAAAATGTTACTGGTAATATTGTTGACTCTGGGGAGGTGAGGTGAATGGGTGGGGAACTGTGGTGCAAGATTTCCTTTTCACTGTATATTCCTTCGTACCTTTAAAATTTTGTTCCACGTACAGGAATTAAAAATTTTTAAACAGAATTTAATAATTAAAAATCTTACTAGACATAGTAGGTATTCAATAAACATGGATGAATGAATAAATGGATAAATTAAGTAAAATGAACGAATATCTTAAATTTGCGATTTGATTACTAAAGCCTTGTGTAATCCATAAGCTATAGCAGTGGTGTTGTTATAAACGGGCCAAAACTGTAGCAAACTTTAAGATTCTAAATGGTTAATATCTGTAAATGGCTTCGGAAATGGTAGAAGTGTGATACAGCTAAGAAAAGAGTTTTGGTTGACAGAAGAACAGCATTTTTATAATTGGTTCTAGGCTACTGCTTTAAAAATTCCTAAGTGAACAAAGCCAGATTATCCTTCATTCTCTAAATCTGTGTAGGAATTACTTCTCATTGGCAAAAACACCTCGTGGTCTAGAAAATACACTATTCTATTATTACAAAGTCATGTCCCAAGCTTGTCTAATGGCAGTTTTACCAACCTTCCTCTCACTGCTAAATATATAGTGAAATTTCATAATTGTATGAGACTAAATGGCTTTTGAAGAACAGAAATAAAGTCTGAATTGGGAAAAAACTATTGTCACTTTGTTAGATTTCTAAATTGAACCAATCCATTACTTTTTATTACATTAAAAGGGATAAGGGGGCCGGCCCCATGGCCGAGTGGTTAGGTTCGTGAACTCCGCTTCAGCGGCCCAGGGTTTCACCAGTTCGAATCCTGGGCACGGACATGGCACCGCTCATCAGGCCATGCTGAGGTGGAATCCCACACGTCAGAACTAGAAGGACCCACAACTAAAAATACACAACTATGTACCGGGGGGCTTTGGGGAGAAAAAGGAAAAGAAAAAAAGGGGATAAGGAAGTTTCATATATGTCTCTATCTATATATCTTTATCTATATCTCTCTATATTTCCCTACGTCTGCTGAGGGAGCTGGTCTTGACCAACTTTTTTCTGAAAAATGAGGAAAGGTAGAGCAAGCAGACTTCAAACCAACATTTTTATTGTGTCCTTTACTTCAGTGAAGCTAATCAAGGGTTTACACCAAGTACAAAATTACTCTAGGTTTTGTTTACAGCTTTATGTCCTAAGATAAGCAAAGCAGCTACCTGTAGTGCATTCAGGCCAATCCTCGGGGACAGGCATGGATCTAAAATGTGGCAGTTTCTGGAGCTAAAATAATAAAGGGAAGACACTAGAATTCTAGTTATTCTCGTCAGGGAGGCGAATGCTAACTGTGGAATTTACTGTAGCACAGATTCTTAAAGCGTTTTGCCAGAAAAATAAAGACAACTAGATAAAAGTGGTTTTATACTGAGCAACTCTGTGAAAGGCTTACCACAGTGCAACGTTAGCTACTATTTGTTGTCATCATTATTATACTGACACACTTCTTTGAATCAATCAGCAAATTTTTATTTAGCCATATGGAGGTCTATACAGAACAATCTGCATGATTGTTAAGATTGTTATCTGCATGATATCAAGAGAAGAAACAGTCCCTGTTTGCAAGCAGTTTATAGTGAAGCATTTTGAAGGAGAAAAGACAGAAAGTTAAATTGTTAAAGAAAAAAAAGACTTAGTTTCTTTGAGGCAATGTCCTTTGCTAGTTCAGCTGAAGTCCTGCATCAAAGGTTGAGAAAAGTTCAAAGTCTACTCTTTCCTAAAAGAGTTAAAAACAGAGTTCATTAATATTTAAAATAAACAAATTACACAGTAATGATTTATCACTTTTCAAGTCCAGTGTCATAAAACTTAACTGAACCAAATTCCACGTATATTTCGAATACAAGAATCAAAATTCCCAGGGAAGTCAGGCACTTGAGTCGGGGCCTATGGAGTAATTTTTTTTCCTGATAAGGATAGAATGCCAAGAGGAAACGGCCAGGAGGACGACTGCTGAATACATAAGAATGTCCTCAGCCTTCTTCTACGTGTGCCTCCATTTCTGAACACCTTTACTTTCGGATACCTTCCAATCTACAAAAACAAACGGGGGCCAGCCCAGTGGCACAGCGATTAAGTGTGCAAGTTCTGCTTCGGTGGCCCAGGGTTCACAGGTTCAGATCCCAGGTGCGGACGTGGCACCGCTTGGCAAAAGCCATGCTGTGGTAGGCGTCCCACGTATAAAGTAGAGGAAGATGGGCACGGATGTTGGCTCAGGGCCAGTCTTCCTCAGCAAAAAGAAGAGGATTGGCAGTAGTTAGCTCAGGGCTAATCTTCCTCAAAAAGAAAAAGAGGAGGATTGGCAGTAGATGTTAGCTCAGGGCTAATCTTACTCAAAACAAAACGAAGGGAGGAGGGATTAAAAAAACTGTACTATAGTTGTACTACATAATCGAGGGGTAGAAAACGTTCTTCAGTGAGTTAAAATTGTCTTGTAATCTCTTTGAAAAGGAGTAGGCAAAAATCTTTTTGAAAAGAAAGTTCCAATTTCTAGTGAGATTGTCCTCGAAGGTTAACTTTCCAAGTTGACAGGAAGTCCTACCAAACACTAACACATAATTTAAACTTCCCTCCAATATATAAATAGAAAATCTATCCTTGGGGCATTAGGCCTTTCTTATCTACCTTAAAATATAACCTTTCCCTCCCTCCTTCCCTCCAGCTTTCTCTCCTCAAGTGAAGATAAAGGAG